AGGAGAGCCGGAGTGGAGGATCCGGCTTGATGGGGCTGAGCATGGTGACCTGGAGGAGTCCACAGGCTGCCACATGGAGAGACATGCTGAGTGAGAGGAGACGGGGCCTGGTGGCCTGAGAGACAGAGGGTCAGAGGTGGCCACGACTTGGGAGTCAGTGATGGACAGGCAGAGACCCAACGCCTGGTTGTGGTTGGTGCTTTTGGGGACGGGGCTGGTTGGGCCCTGGATTCGATATGCAGATGTGGAAATGTCAGGGGAAGAGACCTGGACAGCACCGAAGCACCGAGAAACTGTGCTCTTGGGGTTTGAGTTCTTTGTTGTTGCCGGTTGACCAAGAATGGGGCCTGCAGGGGACTGCTCAGCCTAGCCAAGAAACAAGGCTGTAATGCAGAAGTTTCATCTGTTAAGTCTTTTAAAATTATCTTTTAATTCACTCTTTTTGATGTGGAGTTCTTTGGGTTTTGACAACTGAATAGAGTCTTGTGACCACCATCAAGATCCAGATACCAGAAAATTTTACCACCCAGGAAACAAAAATGTTTCCTCATGCTCCCCATGTCCTGTCAACTCTTCCCCTGCTCCTGGCAACTACTGAGTTGTCCCTATGGTTTTGCCTTTTCCAGAATGGAATCATGTAGTATGTATCCTTTGAGTTTGGCTTCTTTCATTCAGTATTTGAGATTCATACAAGTTGTGTGAATAATAGTACCTTTTTATTGATCATCAAAGGTTGATATTGTCTGTTTTCTGTTTTCTTGTCAGTGTTTGCTTGCTTTTGTTTTTGTTTTAGATGTCCTAAATGGGTCTAAATGGATATTTTGATGTGGTTTTTTTTTAACATTTTTTATTGATTTATAATCATTTTACAATGTTGTGTCAAATTCCAGTGTTCAGCACAATTTTTCAGTCATTCATGGACATATACACACTCATTGTCACATTTTTTTCCTCTGTGAGTTATCATATCATTTTGTGTATATTTCCCTGTGCTATACATTGTAATCTTGTTTATCTATTCTACAGTTTTGAAATCCCAGTCTATCCCTTCCCACCCTCCACCCCCCTAGTAACCACAAGTCTGTATTCTCTGTGAGTCTATTTCTGTCCTGT